TCATCTTTATTGTTATAATTTTTTTTTTTTGTAGTGGATAGAAATCAAATTTCAAGTGAAATCTTAGTGTATAAGAATCAAATTTAGTCCTAGTTCAATTCTATGCATACTTGAGCAGCTACAACAATTTTCAAATAAACTACTTGAGATTTCTTTGCTATAACCTGTAATTTTGAATTGAACACTTTTGAGCCACTACAATCTTTCCCTTTATATATATTGAAGTCTTCTCTTCAATTATATATCATAGGTTACCACACCCTTAATTCTTAGGAGAAATCTCACCCTTACTATTACAACAAATAATTCAAGAAGATTTACTCAATAAAAACTCTCAACTCTCAAGAAGTATGATGAGTAAAATAAAACTCTAATACTGAATAATAAGAATATAGACATATTTTCGGTTAAGTATAATTATTTTTGTATAATAGAAGAAATAATTTAAATTTCATAACTCAGCATTTTTTTATTGTTCAAGCTAATTAACAATGAGCTTGTAGTGTTGTAATTATAAGCCATTGAGTAATATAGGAGTTAGAAACAAAAAATGAGCAATTTATGGTTGTTGGGAAACTTTTTCTGACTCATTAACACGTTAAAATGGAAGTTGAATCATTAAAATAGCTAGGTGGAAATTTCAACGTCAAGATGTCACGTTAAAATGTTGGTTAATGCGTTAAACTAGAAGATGCCTAAAAATGAAATCTGGAAACCTTATGACATGTTAAAAGACTTCTAACGCGTCACAATAAAGGTGGAGAAAAATGATAATTCAAGGGTCATTTAAATGACATGATAAATTTATCTGCAATTCAGCCCCTTGATACTTTCATGCAAATATCTTGATTTTGGGATCTTGAATGATATTCTCCCTCTGACAGAAGTTAAATTCCATGTAAAAAACCGAAATATCCCTTCATGTTTTTCTACATTATAAACTAAAAGAAGCTTAGAGAGAGACACACTTGAAGCGTAATTTTATTTAATTATCACAAAGTGCAAGGAAATTACTACAAGCGTAACCCTGCACATTACTTATTCATAGTCGATTACACTTCACATAATAGAGGCTCTCCGTGCATCAGATGATTCAGCTTTGATGAACACAACATAAAGAGGGGTGTCATTAGTGATAACTAAAAGCGATTTTCCATCATTGCCTCTGGAAATGCCAAGATCTCTGCAAGAATCACCCTTAATGGGACAGAACACAATCTTGTACGCGATACTAGTATATTGTTGAATCCTGAACCAACCCTCCTGAGCTTTCTCGTACTCAGCGATTTTCACAGACTTCAGCCCATCTTCTTCAACCATAGTCCACACCGACGGTAAAGGAACACAGGAAGGTACTTTTCCCTTAACTGAGAAGAAGTCAACATTAGAGTCCAATGGGAGGATTCTAATTTTTAATGGGGACCTAATTGTCCAAGGCAAGCCATTGTCGACTTCAAAGGGTGACTGCACGACACTAAGAGGGCAAGTTTCGTTTCCGGTCTTGGCGAGCCTTAAGCCACCACCTAAAGCCCAGATATGTGGAAGGATGTAGTATGTACCACCATTGATAAGCTCGTTGCCCTCACTGTCAAGGACAAACTTGGATGTGGCTGAAGAGGAGAAGAAGGCAAGGAGAACGAAGAGGGAAAACAAGACAGGCTTCATTATACTGTTGAGATTGTGTTTCTGGGGATGTGTTGTGTGGAAATGAGCGGATGGAGGGTTCTATTTATTGGACTTATTACTCCCAAAATGAGGGGTAGTTTCGATATTCATCCATTGATGCAAGTTGATTAAAAAAATCTTTAAAGATATATCACGTTTTGGAAGAGGCACAGGCACGTGATCTCTAGACTTGTGGCTTAGGATCCAAATTATGGAAGTAAGATGGGGGGATACATTATAGGTGAGTTGGATGTATGGAAGGCTTACTACTATATAAAAAGTTAGGTTTAATAACTAATATTTAATAAAAAAAAATAGACTCATACATTGTTGTAGTCACTAGCTAGTCCAAGTCTCATTTTGGGCAAGTTTCAGGTGGAAACTCGCTCTGATTTTATTTGTTATGAATGAGGAGTGTCTACTTATAAATGGGGGAGAGAAAAAATGGGCAAAGACCAACGATATGATACCACATTAACAAATGAGGTGCTTCAATGATTTTTAGATGCAATTTCCCTTATAAATTACTCATCAATAAGATTTTAATGTAGGAATAAGACTAGCAATTATCATCAAAATAATTTGTAGAGAAAATTGGGTTTAAGGAATAAATAGGTGAAAAAATTGAGAGGAAGAAGTACATTGAAGGTTCTTAGGTGTATTGCACATCTGCAGTTATGCTTCAAAAATCATCTAGCCAGGGCCAGTCCCATTTTGGGTGAGTTTTGGGTGGAAACTCGCTTTGATTCTATTTGTTAAAAATGGGGAGTGCTAGAAATAAGGGAGAAGAAAATGTGTAAAGATCATTAAAATGATATCATATTTTAACTTAAAATCTTAAAGATCACATTTGTAGGTCTTTTTTTATTATATATTAATTATTAAGTTAAACTTTATCTCATGTGAAACTTCCTATACATCAAATGATATCATATTTTAACTTAAAATCTTAAAGATCACATTTGTGGGTTTTTTTTATTATGTATTAATTATTAAGTTAAACTTTATCTCATGTGAAACTTCCTATACATCAACTCAGGTCCATAACCTAACAATTTTAACTAAGTTGACGAAAAGAGTACACCTTTAATTGAGAAATTGAGCGGAAAGAGAAGAGCATTTTCAAGACGGCATTTGCGAATTTTAAAAACATTAAGGATTATAAGTTTTCTTCGTTTTTGTTAAGTAGACAATTTTTGTGGCCGAAAAAATAGGCAACTTTATCTCGTAAAAATATCGGAGAAAGTGTAACTTTTAGCGTGGATGGAAAGGCAAACCGACAGTTGTATGGCAGGGAAAAGGGACCACGTAAAAGCATATCAACTGGTCTTATTACCTCTTTTTTTTTTTTTTTTCCCCATTGGCCTTGTTACCTTGTTTCTCAGTGAAGCTTACAGTCAAACAATTAACGGAAACAAAAAATGCTTATGAGACAAACTGTGAGCGTTCATTGTGAAAGAGAAATATGGAGAAATGGTCACTCTTATTGTTTCAACAGGACAAATAACCTGCCAGCATTCACTGACACAAGAATAATCAACATATAAATCTGCTCAACTGGGAAATCAAGATCTGTAAATTCAAAATAAGCGAAATTACTTATCGTGCTGCAAACATCCTGCTCAATAAAGAGGAACTACTGCGCTTTCTCTTCTCCAGATCTGTCACTATATTGCCTGAACTCTTAGTGGCTTGTTGCATTCGAAGCTTACTGTATTCCATTGATCAAGATATTTCATTTCTCCTCAAGCTACTCTTCGGCAAGTTTACTGTTATCAGATGTCATCCGAGTCAGCCTTCGGATGATGTTTTACTTCATACTTTCCCTTTACCTTTTTAGTGAATTTAACTATTTATTTTTACTTTTTATTGTAAATAAATAAGGTTGAGAGATATGCTGAGATTTAGTCTCGTCATCATGGAGTGTCAAGCCGAACACGAAACTAGCAGAATATTACAGATTTTATAAAGATAATGAGATTGTTGTGGAATTTTTTTTTCAAGTAAAAGATCATGAAAGATCCATGGATTACATCAAGGTTTGATATTATGATATATTTGGCACAGGATGATGTGTTATTTCTGTTCTATATAATTATTTATTATTTTATTAACTAATAACAATGTCTTTCTATAATAATTCAAAATTTTTAAAAAATATCCTATTTTAAATTTGTAATTTTTTAGTGTAATATCTAGGATCTGAATTTAAAAGCATACATATATACATCAATTTTCATATATACAACAGTGCACAAGAAAACGAATAGTTTTAGTCCCCTAACTTTAAACGTGAAGCTCGGTGTTGGAAGTATAGTTGCAAACAAACACGATATTTTCAGTATATATGCCCTACGTGAATAAGTTCTCCATATTTCTTTTTCACAATGAATGCAATTAGTTTGTCTCGTATATGTAAGTAGTATTTGTTTCCATTCTTTGCTTGAGGATAAACAAATGGTTGGCTCCAACTTCAATGAGGAAAAAAAAAATACAAGAAGAGATTTTTATTCCCAATTGATATGCTTCTATGTAGTTTCTTATCCCTTCCGCACAATTGTCGGTTGACCTTTGCCTCGACAGTGTAAGTCATACTTTATTGGTTCTTTTTATAAGATAAAATTATTTACTTTACATAAATTAAGAAAACTACTGATCTTGGTAGATACAAAAGTATTTCCTAGAAAAAAAAATAAAAAGATAATGTTTTGAAGATGAGAAATTCTTGCATGGACACAATATACTACATTATCCATTCTCCATCTGATAAAAACATGTTAGATAACATTAGTATAAATTGATTTTGTTATCAATGATAATAGGTTAAGAAAAGGAAATAAATTAAATAGGCATTCTTTAAAGTAATTAAAAATAATAACAGATAATATTTATTTTATCTGTTTGAATTGGTACAATTTTATTGGATGGAGCATGTATGATGTGATGCATGGGTCTATGCAAGAATTTCTATATTAAAATTATATTTTCTTTCTACAAATACTCTCTTGTAATTAAATGCTCCTCTTTCCATTTCCACTCTCTTTAAAACTTAAATATCTTATTTATAATTAAAACTCTTAAATTTATAATTATTTAAACCAATATTTTTAACTTAATTTTTTAGAGAATTTTATCGAGGCCTTACTAGTTTGGGGACTTGACTGTCATTCTTCCTAAATTTTATTAGAAATAGAAACACAAAAACTTCTAAAAGGAAGCCAATCGAAGCAAAATTTATTTTAGTCTAGTGACACAGATGGCGATAAGGAAGGCGCATGAAGCATTATTTCACTTATTCTTCTCCAGTGAATGTAACAGTTTCGATAATAGGCACTTCAATCAGCTGGTGATTCAACTTTGCGAAACACAACTACGAAAGGGTCGTCATCATCATCAGCGATAACCAAAGGCCTATTATTTTCTCGTCCTTGGAAAGCCCAAGAGCTCTACAAGAATCATCATCAGTGGGACAATGCACATCTTATAGGTCGTACCATGATATGTCTGAATTTTAAACCAACCTCGTGTGCTCGTGCTCATGATGGTGTCTTCAGGCTCATACTCCTCAAGTTTCACTTGCTTTGTCTCATCTTCTCCCCCAACAATCGTCCACCTTGCCGGAGTGGCTGCACAGTTTGGCGGCGACTCGACGATGAACTCCATGATAAAATCTGTAGGGAGGAATAAGATTCTGTATGGAGAAGAAAGTCTGGTTGGCCAACGTGGGCGAGTTCAGAGAAGGCTTGAACAACGGTAAGAGGGCAAGTTTCATTGCCTTTAGCTGCTGAGGCTGACGGGGCCGCCGCGTCCCAGAGGGCCGGGAAGATGTAGTATGAGCCACCATTTCTGATGGGGTCACCATCGGTGTCCACCAAATCAGCTTTGGCTGATGGCATGAAGGCAAATACAAGGAAGAGGGTAAGCAAGAAGGTGGTCTTCATTTGGTTATGTCGAAACGAGAGGATGTGAGGGTTCTATTTATTGATTCACTTGATCCTTTGGAGGGGTAGTTTAGGTATTCAATTATGCAAGTGAGACAAATTTAGTTAATGAATGAAAAAGATGTATCAGATATTCAGAACTTTGGAGTGGCACGAGAGAACTTTGTGTGTGTAAGTGTTGGATAGAATATATATTAGGGACAATTGCATACAAGTGCCACTCAAGATAATTAATTACTTTCAGGTTATTAACAACCGACTTTAGAAGAATGACAACACATCAGGGAGTAATTAATTATCTTGACTAGGACCTGCAAGTAATTCTCCTAATATATTGTGATTGTTTTGCTGTACTATACAGGGACCACTATAAGTGGAAGCATATTCTACAAAATTTGGTTTTAATGTTTTAATTGGGTTTGTCATAGGAAAAATAAAAAACACACACAGAGGGAGAGAGAAACAGATATTTTATTTTTTCCCTTCATTTGATCTTATCTTTCGAATTATATCCCCCAATTTGATAATATTGCGGTTAAGATTCTAAAAAAACATATCTTATTTTTGAATTGTCTTCCCCATTTTGATTATATTACAGTAAGAACTCTAAAAAAACATATTTAAAAAAAAACACGAAACTTGATCGTGGTTTAATTTCCGCTTTGAGCTATGTTTTATCAAATAAGGTAGTGATTTGGTTCATGGTTTTATCTTTAAGTTGTAGATCTGTTTATAGCGAATTCCCTAATTTACACATATTGTAGTTTTAAAAATCAATAAATTTTTGTTTCGGAAGAAACTAAATTAAAATAAAAAATTGAAGAAAATATTTGAAATTTCATTTGACGCATTGAAAAGAACTTTGAAGATTATTTTCAGTTTATCCAAACTGTTCAATAATTTTCTAGACAAGTTTGTATGAATTGCGCTTTGAGACAAATGATGTGATTCGCTTATATATAATAAGAGTCTAAAATCTAATATAAATTAACATAATTCAGGCCTAAATATGGGCTATTTAACATATAAAACTTGCACGTATGACTGTGAGTGTCACACTGTTTAAGAGAAACACTGCTTTTAAAGATTAAAATAAAATAATGCAACGCACAACAGGCCATTCGCGAAAGCAGGAGGAGAGAGTCTCATGTGCTAGGATATGAGGCTGCTGGAGCCCTTCACCACAGCACGTAGAGCTCACGTGCCCCCAAGGTGCATGGGAATGATAACTAGAATATGCTTTGCTTTTTGTAATCACGTGAAATTAATAGTGTTGTTTCGGAAGGTTGATAAGTCTGAGGTACCGGTGACACAGTTGAGACCACCAAATATCCTCATGTACCATACTGTGCAAAGTGATTTCGAAGATAATTGTGAGCAAGTTGAAACCATTAGGTCCAGTTTTGTTATTATAAAAAAATGGAATGGAATGGATTAAAAATATAAAAGTAAAAATAAGATGATTAAAATGTGAAGGGAGAAAGGTGAATTCATAAGGGAGAAAAGTAATTTTAGTACATGAGATTGAGAATTATTATTCATTAGATTTTTGGAGATGTGATGATTCTCATATTTGTAGTATATAAGATTAAGTTTTATTATATTTTATGAAAGAGAAGAGTGATGTACGTGAAGTGGATTGGGAATGTTGAAAAATCCAATGGAAATATAGTTCAAGTTGTGCCCAAGTACATGCTGTCATTAAGAGTTATTTACTATCTGGTTAAATCGCAGCAACTCTCTTAGATTAAACGAACCTTTCTTGTAGGAAAATAGGGTGACGAAAAAATAAAAGTATAAATAGTAAGGTAGAATTCGGGAGGAAGAAGAGAAGACTCAGGAGCGGTGTGTGTCTGAACAAGCGGTGGTCGATAGCTTATATAAGCAAAAAATTCTTGGATGATTTGAGGACGATTAAATGCATAGCCTAATGGGCTTAAATATAATTAATATGGCTTAGTAACCATTAAAGAAAACTATTTCTTAACATTATAATAAAAATTAGTTAATGGTAATTAAAGTGCCCGACACAGCATTTAACTTGTGCACAGGGAAAAAAGCTGGATCTTAACTATATTAGCCTGTTGTTATGTGCGCGCAAGCCTTCCTTTCTTCTTAGCCCACTTAATCAAATTTTCATCTTAGTATAATAAAATTTTCACCCTAACACACACACACACACACACACACACAGAGTCTTTCTCAAGTTCGAGCAAGGAAAATTTCTTTTGACACACTGATAATCTCTAGAATTTCATATTATTTGAGCACATTTTTCTTAGATTCTAATATATTTTGGATCAATTATTTATATTTTGATTGCTCAAATTAAGAAAATTGCATCTTGGTTTGGGTTTGCACAATTATTTTTAATTTAATACTTTTAGGCTAATTTTGTGTTACTTTGGTTTGATTATATTCATTTCTACACATTTGTAATGCTTTTGGAAGTCTTTGGGATGAAAAAATCAAGTGTGAAAAGGATAAGTTTTGTTCACTATAAAAAACTATGCAAAACTGTCGAAATCGTGTCAAAGTCATGACTTTCACTGCTATTAGCAAAATACTCCATTTTATTTATTAGAAAATGCTTGGGTAGGATATATATATATATATAATATATGTATGATATGAATGTATGTTATATGTATTCTGAGAGCTTGACCCAGAAGGCATTCCACTCACTTTAAAATATTTGGATCTTGGTTGTGCTAAGGTTCGGGTATTGGAAGAGCTTGGAGTAAGGGATTGGAGTTTTGAAGACATTTGAAGCTCCTTTTCTTTGATTTTCCTATTCCTATTCCCTTTCCTCTCTTTGTAATCTAAAAGGGTCTAAGTATTTTGTGTATTTGAAGCTTATGGATGATTATGAGTAGCTAAATATTTGTTCTAAGATTATTTGGAACCTTGTATGGATTGACACTAAGTTTCTCCTCTCTTTTTGTGATTATAAATGTGTTTATTTTATTTTTTCTTAATGTTTCTAAGTATTTGGCCACTATTTAGATGTTAAGTTCACTTAATTGATGCTTGAGAGTGCTAGGTTGAGTGTAAACTTGGATAAAATAGTGCAAAAATTGACATTTGCATGTTGAATGGATAGTTTTGCTAGTAAGATAGAGATATACTTGTAGCCTTGCATAGTACATTAAGATTGGTGTTTAAAATTAAGGTTATTTATTCTAATAAGAGATTGGGTAATTAATTTAGCTAAACACTTAT